ACATAGAAAACATAGCATTATATATATATATATGTAAAACTCCCCCAAAAAAGGAATAATTACATGCACAACATAAAATTACAAACATACCACCCAAAACATTGAAATTTATAAATTACCCCAAAAAAAGAAAATATTTTATTAGGCAAAACATCATAAAAGTAACATATTACCAAAAATATTTTCAATAATTAAGTTTAGTAACTAATAGCACCAAAACCCACCTCCTTCCCACTATTTATAACCCCCTCCTCTAGCCACCTCTGTACCTCTCTCCCTCTCTCCCTCTCTCCCTCCCCCGGAAAGTTCTTTCTCCGCCATCAATGGCTAGAGCAGCAGTCTTCTTCTTTATCATTGCTCTCGTCTTTTCCATCTCCCTCACGCATGCTGCCAGAACTCTTCCTGTGAAGAAGCCCGGCCCGGTTCAGGTGATTAGCTAACGAAAACATCTGCTATTTCATCTTCTAGCCTCTACTTTCTCTGTTTCTGAAACGGGCGATTTTCTTAGGGTTTTGATGAAGAGAAGATGGAATTGAGCTGCGATGGAGTCGGGGAAGACGAATGTTTGATGAGGAGAACCCTTGCGGCTCACATTGATTACATCTACACGCAGGGGAAGACCCATAACTGAGGTTGGGGATAGATTAGGGTTTCTTTTTCCTTTTTCTTTTTTTGGTGACCTATTTTGGGCGGGGATTTGTGCGATTCATGAAATCGTCCATGTTTATTGGTTAGTAATGATGATGGTGGCTTTGTGGATTTCATCCTCTGTTTTGATTTGTGTTTTGTTTGCTTTGTTTTAGGTGGATTTGGTTGGTTTTAGTTGCAGATTTTCATTATTTTGGTTGATTTGGGGAAGAAAGAGGGATTTTGGGAATATGAATGGTTATTTATGTAAATTGTACTGAAAATAAATAAATAATGTTTTTTTTTTTTTTTTGGTTGTGCAATCATCCCACAACAAAGACCCAAACATCATTTTAGATTGTTAGAGTTTATGGATTCAAGTAATGTAAATGTATCTATTGAGAATGAGTAAATATTATTGAAGAAATTATTACGTATGATGTTCGCATGTCTGGACAGTTAGTGATGATGTTATCAGATCATCGCTGTTGTGCGAACGTGCAGTTCAATGGATGTAGTGGTTTTCCCTATGACTGTGAAAAAGATTGTAACAATTGATTGAGGAAATGGGAGAGGGCGGTTTGTGATTCTCTTCGAGTGAATCACCTAAGTTCTTCTATGAGATTTTTGTCTCTTAGAGTGGTGGGGAGGAGAGACATGCGGCTTCGCGAACGACAACTTCACAGCAGCTTCTTGAAACAGGTGCAGCTATGCCAAACAGGTTCTTACAATCATCAAAATCTTAACCAATTCTATTAATGTCATATTTCCTATGTATTTGTAGATCTAACATTTAAACTTCAATTTATGTGTGCAATATGTGACATGTTGGTTGGCAGCTTCAGCGTAAGTCCCCTCTGTCTCGGGTTTGAATCCATTTGGGTCGAATTAGTACATATGGAGTGGAAATTTATGCACATAAATATATGTCACTTGTGCATAGAATAATGAATTCCACTTTTAAAATGTTCAAAAGAGGTTTACTCATGTGATACAGAAGATGCGAAGGGTATAGATGTAAAAAAGCATAGAGTATAGATGTTAGATATGTGAATACATACAAATTGGGTGATGTGTACGTAAAAGCTCGTAATATTTAAATTTTGCCTCATAAAATAAATTATAGCCGTATCTTGACTTTCGTTTTTGTATTGTTGTGATTGATGGTCATAATACTAATATATTCAAAGGCAAATGACTTCCAAAAGAGCTATTCAGTGTGGTGGGCAGCTTAAGACTTAAATACTATTTTACGGCTCTACACCTAGCCGATGTAGGACTTTTTATCCGTGACATTCTCCTCCACCCAATCACGTGACGCCCTCGTCACGGATCGGCTCCACCAAGGGTCTCACTAGACCATGGAGAGCACACACCTGGCAGGCAGTAGTCTGCTCTGATACCACTTGTCACCTCCTAAAAGAGCCTTTAAACGAGGTGAACATAAACAAAATTTTAAACTCGAATTAAAAACAAGTCGAACACGAAAGATCGTCTATTCGGCCATAGTATACTTGTAGCCATGTGGTTTTATTGTTTTTATTGCAAGAAAATGGTGTGGGATGGAATCCAACACCAAACTTTTATTTTTTAAAATTCATTTAAATAAGCTAATATCGAGTGGAAAGCGAACAACAATATGTAAACCTAGCCGAATATGTACACAATTTCAAACATGAGTTAATTTCAAACGAGTTAAACACAAGTTAAACTCGAGCTCGCTAAAATTCAGCTCATTTACAAACTTACATAGAAAACATAGCATGATTAGAAATAGAATCATGAACCATAGATTTCATTCTATAAGAAATTAAATAATCAATCCAATGTCTAAAGCAAACCACATACAATGAAAGGAATGTCTCCCACCAAATCAAAGTGCAATCAAATAATTCAACATACATTTTAGTGCTTCTCAATATGGATCACTAAAAAAATTACAATAAACTCCTACTCTAAAAGCTAAATAGGGACATAAATGTAATATGTGCAAAATATCATTTAAAAGAAATTAAATTTAAATTACCTTAAATCCATCAAAAAATAGAATGTCAATGGGCTCCATAGTGTAGCTTTGCTAAATAAGGCTTTGGGATATATAGATCTTATAGTTGTATTAAATTTCATTTTGTTTAATTTTATACTTGAAAACTATAAAATCTTAAGATTAGTTTATAAAACAATGCCTAATTGAGTTCTTATAAAGAAAATTGAGCAATGTTATGTGCTCAAATCTTTAAGGAATCACCCTTAAATTGATCTTGATTGAGGTAGATGGTTATTTTAGGAAATTGACATTATCAAAATTAAGTTTCAAAATGAGCTAGGTCCATTTTAAATTAACTAAGTAAAGTTAGATTGGCATAGGTTAACTAGATCTTTGTACAATATCTATACTTCACGTAGGTAACTATGTTCAGACAAAGGACTTTGAAAGGTCTAGTCCAGTAGGCTTTAATCATGGGCACACCTAAGTTTACTATGTTATGGCCGGTGAGTCTATGTCTAATAAAACTTGAAGATCAATCAATAATTTATCAATCCAAAGTGAGGCCAAGTTTTTCTAAATTAGTTGGTTGTGGTTTAGTGTTTTACCGAGCACCAAATATTTTACTTACTAGATAATTTTTTGATTACCGGGGCTCTAAGTGTCCTATAAAGATTGGGTAATTAATCTAACCAAATTTAATTAATGAACGAAAAGACATGATCTTTCGTAGGCTAAAAGGAAGGTCAATAAAGTGTCCCAATGAACAAACCGTGCTTTATCTAAAACTAGGGGAAGTAAAATTCATTCACAAAAAAAGCTTCATAGGAGAGTTGGAAGTTACATAAGGCTATTGACTAGAAGATCCATTTCTAGTTTATGGACTAATAAAAAATTTTTACAAGACTAATTTTATCTACGGCGTATCAGATTCACCAAAGAGCTCCTCATCAAGAACGACATGATTTGAGATGATATCTAAAACACAATCATCCATTCAAGCCACCACTGCAAAATACTGAAGGTTTTGCTCGATCTCCATCAGATTTCCCAGAGACTTTCATGAAGAACAAAGGGATGTACGTACTTACTATTCCCTCAAAATAAAATCCTAGCTACCAATGAAATCATATCCATCAACTAACATATGTTACGCTAGAATAAAAAAATTTCCTATTCTATTCTTATATAAAAGCCTACTTTGGTGACCAGACATCAACCGCTATATTTTAGAGGGGTCATATTACTTCAGGTTGATGGTCAAACCCCCTCCAAAAAAAATAGTAATTATTTTTTTAGCCCATAAAATATTATATTAATATATGTAGTTCCCCTAATGAGAAAAATCTCCATGCCTACATCCATTAATTAACTAATTATGTCTAAAGTTTAAGGAATGATGACCACTAATCATGTCACATTGACCCCCCAACTAAAGAATATGATAAGAACAAAATTAAACTTCTAGAATGGGTGGACCTCCATGATTAAGCAAACTTAAACAATACTCCAACTCCTAATATCGTTAGCCCACCACCTTTAACTTACATCTAATTTAATATTTAGTTTAATGAAAACAATAAACACGTTTTCCTTATAATTCTAGAACCATGCTATTTAATTATTTGAACATAGATTGATTTCTTATATTTATACCATTCAAATTTTGTATGCCACGTCAAACAAACTACGATGTTAATTTCAATTAATATGCACTTTCTGATCGGTCTCTACAGTGGGGGTGTCAAAAAAGCTCACTGTTTTGTGAGCAGCTCGTGTTCAACTCGTTAATCATGTACTTTCTGTTCAAATCGTTTATTAAGTAAACGAGTCAAACACAAACAACTCTTTGTTCGTTCGTGCTCAACTTGTTTTAGATCGAAATACAAAAAAATTTACATATAGTATTGTATCTTCTATGGTTTTACATTTCCTATTGAACAAAATTGGTGCAGGTTTGAATCCAACAACCTACATCTAATTTTTTCTGTCTAATTTCAACAAATAAATTTCGAGCCGAATACGAGCTACTTTCTAATACGAGCCAATTTTGAACGAACAAAACATGAGTCAAGCCTGAACTCCCTTAAACTCGACACGTTTCTACGCTGGAGATCCTTATCACAGTGTGAATGGAAGAGACTCTCCCACGACCAAAAAGAGCACATGAAGTTAAAGCTCGGAAGCCACGTGCGAAGGCAAATATATAAATATATATTGTTGAATATTGCTTGGTGTGGACATTTGGAATAATTCTCCCCGAATTTAATATCACAGTTGATAAGATTGGAGATTTATTGATGACATTAGATTCTTCCATTTGAATGTGCCCTATTTTATGCGATGATGGTTGGGTGGTGATGATTTTAACGTTGTTGGTCGGGCGGCAATGATCTGTCAGTAGAACAGTTAGCGGTTCAATTGTAGCGTTCAAGCGACGTTTGTCTGATGGTGGTGGTTCAAAGGAGACAATTTGATTACGGTAGTCGAGCGGTGATGGTTTGAGCGTGACGGTCGACGAACAACAATCTAACGATGGCTATAAGGCGGGACATAAGCAGTAAGGCGACGACGATCCAACAACTATCATTGTGCCAAAAGTATTGTGATGGTGATAGAACTCAAGAATTCTTGAAATCTCTAAATTGTCTCCAATCTCAGAAAATATCAAACTTTAGGGGTTAGATATGTAAATAAATAAGAATTATGTGGCATGTAAATTTCTCTTTTTAAATAATTATTACAATTTTACCCTCTAATCCTTACATCATGCACTCAGAATCACAATGTGTTATGGTATGACTCATATACCATATCGGGACAGACGCTGGATCGAAGCGGAGCGGAGCGGAAGAATCTGTCCAAATTGGGAAGTTACGTGGGTTGGGGTGTGGGGGCAAAGCCCCGCGGTATGGTACAAGGGTAATGTTGTAATTACATGTTGTGTCTAAGTTTACTCCTGGGATTATAAATACATATGTTAGTAATCCCAGTAGGTATCCCTGATTCTGTAAACCATTTTCTAATTATTGAAAGGAACTCGCCGCTCTGCTCCCGAGGACGTAGGCATCTTTGCCGAACCTCGTTAAATCTCTGTGTTCTTCTGGATTTGTGTCAATTACTATTTTTCTTCGCCCCTAATTTCATCAACACAATGCATGATGCCCAAACTCACTTTTCCCCTAAACGTGAAAGCAAATTATCATATTACCAAGTCAACGGTTTCCACCAAATTGTGGCGCAATTGATCACGGAAAATTATTACTTTCTTTTATATTTAATTTTGA